ATATGCGCCGGGGCTCGCCATTGTCGAAGGGTTTCGTTACCCTAGGCCGTGGAGGCCATCGAGGTCGCCGAGGGTGGAGGGCGGCATTCCCGAGGGCCAAGGGTCTATAACTGGGAAATTGTCCCTTGGTCGCCGGTAATGGAAGTCGACCCGGACCTGGGGAAATACCCGACTCCATTCCACGGCTGCGGAATCAATCGGGCGGAAAAAAAATTCCATTCGCCGTTTATCAAGCGCGGACACCTCAGGGTGGGCTCGCGAAATTCCCCCCGACCCCCCTGATTTTTTCTCGTGAATTACTGCGATGGATTTTCATGGTTAAACGGACGGCCAGGGGGAGGAGGACGTGCCCTAGGGGTGGAGGTAAAAGGTAATTGAAAATAAATAAAGGATTCGAGGATCTCCGCAGGCGCCGGGGGAACGAGTCGACGGTGGGGTGGATGCCCCACGAGGGGTGGGGAACTACCGAGACTGCTTCGCTGGACCTGGAGCGCGATTGCGGAGGGTCTTCCCCTCGCGAGAGATTTGCGAGTGGATGCTGGAGAGAGCAATGAATAACGAGGGTGTTAATAAATAGGAGATCACCCTCGGGAATCCCTTGGTGAGCGAGGTAGTGGAACGCGCGGCCTCGGGTCAGCCGAAGTGGAGAGAGTACTCGGTAGTCGGCCACTGGGAATGATCAGACAATCGACGAGAACGAACGTTATACCGTGCACATTATTCGCGAAGACAAAAAACAAGGGAATTAATTAAATTATGGAAAGGAGCGCTCGCGATCGATCGGGCCGCGCTTTGAATTATTAATATAGAGGGGATGGGGTAGTTCCTTTTTCGGGGGCCTTTCCTACCCCGACCGCGGAACCCTTCCATCGTCTCTAAATTGTCAAAAACATTACCGTCACTCGCACACCCCTCGAGGGGGTAGGAGGGTGGGAAGAAGTCACTGAACGGTACGATTGATCGTTGCAAGTGCGACCGGGGCTAAATTATGCGGCGCATGTTCCATTACGAGGTTTCGGCCGCGATCTGCATTTTCTGCGTTGTCGTTACGGGCTGCATAAATCCACCCCCGGCTACGTGGCTCCCCATAATTTACGAAAGGGAGGGTTCCATGAAACGTCACCCCCCTGCGCCAAGGTGGGGAAGCCTTATCGAGATCAATCTGGATCGTGGACATCGAAGGGAAGCTTCCGAGATATGCCTCGAAAATATCCAAAATGTACGTCGGCCCTACCCCCCTGGGAGGCGCGAAAACGTCAAACCCCATTGATACAGCTGGGAATAATTAAATCCAATATCGCCATCCCGAGATTCAAAACCCTCTTCGAGGGAGTTTCCTGGCGGGACTCGTTCTTTAAACGAGAGTTCCCCTCCGGAGAACCCTCGGAGAGTCGAGAAACGTTCGATGCAAATTTCTCGGAGGGTCGATTAGCGAGGGGTGTTTCCACCCCTAACGAAGTGCCCGCGTCGGAGGAAGTAAGTTGGCACTTACTTTTTCCAGGAGGGGCCGGATGTGAGGGGGGGAGAAATCGCGAATAGGGATGCTTCGATCGGGGGTGCGAAGGGGGTTGGGGGTGGACTCGAAGGGACGCCGATCCGATCCTCGAGCACGGACGGGGGCTTAATCGAGCGAAAAGCACGACCGCCCGGCGAATCCGAACAAATGTCTCGAATCCCCTCGAATGTCTGACGAGTGCCGAAGAGAGCTCCGAGGGTGTTGAGGAATAGAAGCCACCTGGAGAAGAGTTTCCGGTTTAATTGGCTGCTGCCTTGGAACGTGCCCGAGTGGCCTTACGAGGAGTCGAAAGGCAATCGCCGGAAGCACCCCTAAACCTGGACTTCCTCCTATACAAATCGTAGAAGCGTTCGCCTGGCTGCAAACTTTCGGCCAGCGGATCCACCTTTCGTACCTGCCGAGAACCCTGAAGAGGATCTTCCAGTAGCGAATACCCTGAAACGAGATTCCGGGGTAACCGGATTAACTAAGTCAGCTAGCGGATACATTTGACGAATTTCTGGGGAAATCGGCAGGTGATCGAATAATTTATTCGGCCAAATTGTCAAATTGAAGCGGGTTGGAAATGATCCTCGACGAGATGGAAATCCACCCCGGCGGGATTTCTTTAAGGACCCGCGTCCTCCTCGATCGTCTTCACGGGCGGAAGGATATCGCGGGGGAGGTAAGATCCTCTTTCCCCCGAGTTAAGTAAAATTTCTCTCGATGGAACCGTTCCCAGCCTCCTCACCCCCCGAACCCTCTCGTCTCCTTTCATCGACCCCCTCGCACCGCAGCTTTTCCGAGCTTTTCCTCCGAGCGAGTCTGGAGCATTTTAAGGAGTTGGAGGCCTGTAATTCCCGGCCTTGAACTTCCCTCGGAACTTTCCCTCAACTCGAAGCCGATGTACAGAAAAATTCTTAAAACCTACCCTCTCTCCCTCTCGAGAGGAAAATTTAAAGTCGCAGATTTGCCGATTTCCGCGCGAGGCGCAGCAAAGCTCGCTCGCGGAGAAATTCCGACTTCGGCGTGGAAACCGAGGGGCGGGTTGGCGAACAATTCGCAAAGCAAACTACAATTGCAGCCCCGCAGCCGAATTCCCAATACGAGGGCCGGTAACTTTCCTTTTACTCGCATATTAGCGAGGAACTTTTCGTCGGGCGCGTTGTTTCGCCATTCAGGGGGCAGCTCATGAATTTAAGACACGAGTTCGTAAAAGCCCCCCTTGGTTGCAAAGCTCGGCGAGAATCCGGGGCAACGAGCTCCCCTTTCCACCCCGAAGGCTTCCAGGGAAAGTTCGAACTCTTCTCGCGTTACTCGCCGAGGGGAATCTTCGAATCGGCTGGTAAGGGCGGATACTTAACGGAGAAATCACGTTCCGCGAGCGTCTTCCTCGCGGAATCCGCGGAATTCCAGCGGCACGCGGCCCGGCGCTACCGTGGGGGCCGGGGGCAAATTCCCCCGAGAAACAGGGGTGTCGCCCCGATACCCCATCCCCTGGATAAAACCCCATTCCCCTCTTTAATTCTCCTAAATACTCCCCCAAACATAAACGCCGATGAATTTGAGCCCTTAGATGAATTTTTACTATATTTCCGCGTAACTTCGGATTCCGGACGCGGATGGCAGTTAATTATCCTTGAAGGGTGGTAATCCCGTTCGCGGGGCCGAAATTAACCATCAAGGGAACCGATTAACACCATGAGTACCGAGTTAAGCCGGATGAAGAGGCGGAATGCGAAAAGGGGTGAGAGTTGCGGGAAAGCAGGGGTGAAAAGGAGAGCCGCAGCATCCGGCGCGGATGAGAGGAACAGGCGACACGAGAGAAGTTGCACCGGCTACACGAGTTTCCGGCTGCGCAGCCGCAACCATGTCGAGGGGGGATGGGGGGAGGGGGCACCCTCGCCCCCGCAAAATCGGCGATCAAAGCCACAGGGGAATTAACGAGGCATTCAGCTAATTAGCACCCCCGCGACGCGGACGAGAGCGCACTCCGTTTTTCCGCCCCCTTGGCTATCCCGTGGACGTTGAAGACGAGAGGGAAGGGCGGAAAACGGCGAAAAATCCAGGGGCGTTTCCGCGGCGAAAGAGACTCCGCGCAAAGTGTCTCCCCCGGGAATCCTCCGAGCCGAGCGAGGAATAATGTAAGTGTCGTACATACGCGACAAGCATTCCGCGTTTACGTTTCCTCGTAAAGCCGCGCCGCGCGGATCTTTACGAGCGGAAGCACGCAAGACGGCGAGCGGGCAGATTTCCCCGACGGGGCCTCCACCGCCGCGACCCCTTAACGTCGCGACGCGACCCCTTAACGTCGCGTTTATCGCCGCTAAATTAACGCGCGCCATCGCGCCGGGGCGAAAAGTGTCGTTCGTCCCCCTCTCCGGGTGTCGACCGAGGGAACACGCCGAGTATCTCCGATTTGGCATCGAGGGGTGCCAGAGTAGTCGAAGATCAAAGATCCGAGATCAATGATCCAGGAGAAGAGGGGCGCGGCGAAAATCCGCCGTTCCTGGCCACCTCGCGGAATCCCGCCCTCGAGAGAAATCCCGCGCGAGAGAAATCCCGGGGCTTATAAAAATGCTCATAAAAATGACCGTCTTTCTCTGGAAGGAGACCCGGGGCCGAGGGGGGAGAGGGACTCTCGGTCTGCCCACTGGAGAGAACGAGGGTCATTAATCGCTCCACGGGAAAAAGTCCAGGGGACCCCATCGGGCTCCGCTCTTCTCGGAGGACTCGTGAAAAATACCTGAAAGCAGGGTATCCTAGGGGGAGGGAAAGGTAATCGCTGGAAGTGGACGGGAGAACCGCCACCCGAGGTGATCCTTCGGAATTATTGCCAAGGAGACCCCGTCGCGACGCACCCCAGACGCTGGTCCACCCTGCCACCCACCCCATGACAATCGATAACGATATCTCCCCGTCTACGGGCCAGATCAATTTCCCTCCGGACTCGACCGAGTATTTCCAATTTTCGGTACTTATCTAGACAACCCCTTGAGCGCTAGTCGTTAATCGGAGGGGTGCCTCGATTAAGTGAAAAAATTCAGTCCCTCGTGCAGGGGGAAAGGGGGTGACCTGGAGTCGTCCCACGACGAGAGGACGTAAGACATCCGTCACGGTGGTGGTCGACCCACCCACCGCCCGCCACTCTCTGCGCGTGCGCGGTCGCCCGGCCGCCGCGCGAAAGCTCGGCGAGCTTGGAGCGCTCCTCAGTCGGCGGCTGCCGGGCCTGGGGTGAGGGTCGGTCTGGCGCGTCGCGAGTGATGCCGCTGAACCGCGGGAGCCAGGGCGCCTCGGAGTGATCGGAGGGTAGGTCGGTGCGGGCCTGAGGTAAGGGTAGGTCGGTGCAGGCCGCGCGTAGCGGTCAGTCGGTCCCGGCCGCGCGAAGCGGCAGGTCGGTGCTGGACCCGCGCCTACCGGTCAGTCGGTGTGGGGTACGCGGAGTGGCAGGTCGGTTCCCCGGGTCCCGAGCCAAGCCGTCCTAACCTCATCATGACGGCCGGCTGAAGACCCTTCGGCGCGGACACGCACCCCCTGAACATGCTCTTCAAGGCGGGGACGTGAGCTTCGACCATGCAGGTAAGTCCTTCCTAACCTGTACCTGTAACTAAGGGAATGCCCTTACAGGGTCCATATAGATGGAGGTAAACGGGGGACGCGTTGTCCTAACCCGCAGGACATCCCAAGGGCGGAGGTCTTGCCGACTTGTTTTCGACGAGTAACGTCGATCGATCAAATCCCTATTACCGCGCCGTCGAGCGGCAAACTCCGGAGGAGTTTCCCTCGTTTATTTACCCCGCAGATCTCCGAGCGGACACCTCGTAGTCTCGCCAACTTTCGCGGAGTTGGAAAGGAGGACGCTTCCTGGGGGTCGAGGGTGCATACCGGACACGGATCGCTCCCTTTTGGAACCTCCCCTTTGGAATCGCGGACGAGTAGCTGGAGAAACCGCCACGTGAAAAACCATTGTTAAAAAAGAAAAAAATAAAGGACCTAAAGGCTAGGAATTGAGGCATTTTGATTTTCCATCGCGTAAAGATAAATTGTAAATATTTCTTTAACTCGTCGATTGATCGGGATGAAAGTAAATTCCGGGGAATTCTGTGCGAACGGGCGGCGAAAAGGGCGCGGCGAAAAGCGTAATTAATCGCGCGGGTATACAAGCACCCCGTAACATCCCCAGGCACGGTAAACCGAGCTCGCAACGGAGTGTAAGCTCGTTCGAGTATTCCCGATGCGCGGCCCGAGGCGGTGCAAGACAGGTGTACAGAGCACACAACGATGCGCAACCCCAACCCCTCCAGGGGGTGGCGGCTTTAAAGCCGAAAAATAACGGCCTAGACGGCGATACCCACACATGGGATCCGCTTTTCGCAGGGAGCGCGTTCCGCATCCGGAATGGCACTCGTGCACCCTCGAACGCCCATCGACGTACAAGCAAATACGAAACACCCTTGCGGGGAGAGCAACACGTTTTCGATGGCTCGAACTAACGCGCGCGGTGAGCGACGTTCCCCTCTGGGGCGAGTTCCACTTTCGCGATCCACGCCGTGTCGAGGGTGGATGGTCCCCCCGAGGTCGGATTTTTTTTTACATTCGAGGGGAACGAGGATATTCGGACCCCCTGAAAGGATGTTTCCGGGCTTGAGGGGGGAAATTAATCGGCAGGGAAATTTCCTCCCTCGTTAGGGGGTGGCTTTTCGAACGGAGGCGCACTCAGGACACCTGTAAGAGAGTTAACGCTAACGCGATTATAAACACCGAAGCGAACACGTGTCGGGGGTAAAACTCGCGATAAACTCGGGAGGGGTGGGGAATTATTTCGCGAGGGTCGTCTTGGCGGGGCCCCGTCCCGTAACTACCCCTGTACCTACTAAACGCCTCATAAAGCGCGGGAAAGTTTCGCGGCGTCTGCGACGCGCGAGGGTCGGGCCGGAACCTGGCATTGAAATTCATGGCAGTTGGATTCGATTGAAAAGTTGGGAAATCCCCGGCGGAAGTAGCCGACGCCCCCCGGGGGTTTGACCCGGGCTTCCGGTCGGTGATATCCGGTGCTCGGGCCCCGCGATTGGGGGCAGATGTAAACGGAGGAAATTAAATCTACATAACCTGAAATCCACCCCGGGTACCGGTCTCGGGGAATCGCATATATATACAGGGGTTGAGGGGGTGCGGTTCTGGAGTTTCGTTTCGTGGTTTCAGGGAATTACGGGGGTTGGACGGTTCCTTGATATTGGGTGGTTGAGGCGCGTACTTGGGAGAAGAAAATTGAACGGCGGGCGGTAACGGGGGGCGTCAGGGGGCGACATCAACCCCTCGGCCTCTAATCGGCACTAAGGGCGGCATTACTTCGTAAGCCGGGCCCGCCGACGATTGTCACCCCTCGAGCCACCTCTCGAGAGCCGACTCGAGGGCTGCCTCGAGAGCCGCCCCCGGCTGGCAATGCGCGCGAAAAATACTCCGGGCGCAAAGGGTTAAGGGGCGATAAAACGCGGCGGGGGCGCGCTCGATTCTCCTCACGCCTCGGGACTTAATTCGCCAGACGCGGAGGCGGTAACCATGAATAATCGACTTCGCGCGTACGCGACCTCGGGGATTCCGCCGGCCATTATGGATCGTTACCTATCGGGCCGCGATTTATGATTGCGGATTCGCGGCAGATGCTGCCGCGAACCCCCCACGGGGAGGAAAGGTGCCGCAAGGGGTGGAGGTCCTTCCAGGTGGAGGTCCTCGAGGTAGAGGTCTCGCGAGGTGGAGATTTTTCAAGACGGAAGTCCGATCGATGATCGATCCCGGGGATTCCGCCCCGGGACGGTCGGACCCACCCCCGGAGCCTCGTTTTTCACCCCGCAGTCGAATATCTTCCAGCGACACGCGCCCGTTTAAAGTGACCCCCTCGGGAGTGGGGGCGGGAGGGACCCATGAATATTCAGTGGATTTCAATTCCCCGAGTGCGGAATTCCGCGGTTCCGGCTGAATTTTCATTAATCCAAGGATCAACGATATTACATTGCGTTACGCTGATGGAACTTTTAATTGTCCGGCCCGATTAACGGCCGAGCTTTACGGCCGTTTTGGGGATTAATCGGCGGGGGATGAATTAATTTCAACGTCGATACGGTCGCCTCGATCCCGGAAGTGGTCTCTTCCTCCGATCGGGGAGGGGTGGAAACACTTAGGGAGGCTTTAAAGGGTGGCTTAAGGAGCTTTAAAGTTCGGGGCGCGATATTGCACTTAGGCACGCCGTACGTGCGTACGTGCCGAATTCTCGTCCCCGGCATTCCGACTCTTCTTCTACGTTTCTACCCCCACACCCCCGTAACATGAGAATTCCGCAAAGGGATAAGATCACGCGGGACGAGATGCTAGGAATTTCGGGGATGTCTTCGCGGTCTCCTCGGAACTCCGGATTTCAAAAAGTGGGAATTCGGCTACGTCGTAGCAGGGGGGGTAACGACCGAGGGGTGCTCGCGATAAGCCGGAAACAAGCCCTTTGAGGGAGAGACGCCTCCTGGCTATGCGGAGAGAATTTTCGGGGGAGTTTCGACGGGACGTCGACCACCCTCCGAAAGGGTTAACTCCCCGAGTGGAGGGCTACCCCCGGCGACGGCTCGCTTTGAGTCCACCCCCCCCCCCTTCACGGGGTTACAAAGTGGATATTAATTGCTGGTCCGCCCTTGTCAGCAGGCTTCTTGACCGATGGCGACGCCGAGCTCAAACGAGGAAGCTCAAAGGGTTGCTGGACGAGACCGATGTACAGGTGTAAGGTCGATGTGCACCCCTTACCCTGTGTTCGTTTCCCAGGGTACGAAGAGGGACACATAGGGACCTCGAGGGGTATATACGCGGGTGCAGGTGTATGCAGGTGCAAACACAATTTCACCAGACGGAGTACCGACCAATTGCCAATTGGCAATCGCCGATCCACCCCGTTACGTTTTTTTTTGTTTCTCCTTTATCAATCCGCGAGGCACCGTAATTCACCCCCGCAGGGTGGGCGGGAGGGGGGAGGGGGCGGCTGCGCTTCTTCCCCGCGAAATTCGACAGAAGCGGAAAATATTTTCCCGCCGACACTTTCGCCCGGGCGGAACAGCCCGTTCCAGCTCGCTCGAGATATTTCCGCGTGCGTAAAGCCACCGGGGGTTAACTGCCGACGCAATTTATACGCGTTTCCTGCCGTTCGCAGGGGAATTCGGTTAAGCGGCTTCACCTGTTACTCGGGAATACCTGACGGGCTAATTACCTGCGCCACCGCGAGCCCTGAAAGCCAGGTGCCAGGAAGGGGGAAACGCACCCTCCGGGGGCACCGGTGACAGGAGGTAATTTCCCTACTCGGTTATAGAATTTCTATAATTTTTATGATTCCGTTGAACTCTTTTATGGGAACCTTGTCATTTCTGTAGATATACGGAAAACCACCCTATCCTACATAGTACACGTCCCGGTCGTCCTGATACCTACATCACGTAGAAATCACACTCGGGATAATTTTCAAGGGGTTACTACCCCCCGAAAAGTGACACTATCGAGTGATGGACTCTAAAGGTGTCATTTTTCGGGGGAAAATAAGTATCTCGGAGGGATGTCGTTTATCCAGGTTATATACCTCGTCGCCGGGGGGGTGCGGCGCCCCGAGCGACGCTAATTATCGCAAAGTTAGCGGTGCCTCCCCGAGACACGGGGGTGCACCATTAGCGCGGCGATATTAATTACCGTCGCCAGAATCCCGGGCCCCTAACTAACACCGGTGTCGTTAAACCAATAACGCGAAATCCGAGGAGAGGTGCACCCTGGCCGGGGGATGCGCGGGATACCGGAAGGGGGGGTGGAATCGGAGATCGCCTCATTTGGTCCCCTTCTACCCCAAGAAGCAGCCAGACCATGGAGATGGGGTTATCGGCCACCAGGGGACAATGGACCTCTCTTCGTGGCGATTTTCCCGTAATCCAGGGGAGAGGGTACTCCACATCAAACCAGAGATGGTGGACGCCACGAAAATTAGGGGGTGAAAATTATTTCGAGGGTGGAGTTTTTGTTAAAAAACGCCCTGGAGGTCGTTTTGCCTTCGACGCTAGGCAATGCAACCCCGATGACGCCCCCCGAGCTCGGGTCGCGTGAAATTGATTTCCTCGTCCTCAGGGGGTGCGGTCGTTGACGGCGGCCACGCGTTTTCCGCTCCTCAGAGGGGAGGGGGCGGAATCGCGAAAACCGAGAAAACCAGGGCGAGATAGAGCCTCGGAGAGCTCCGGGCGTGCGGAAAGACGCGACCCCAGGATCTTCTCTGAAAGTGGACGCGCCACCCCCGCCCCTGGGGGGCACCGAGGGGAGGACGTTGTTTTCTTTCATTACTGCAACGAACCGTAACTCGGTACGATGATTCCCTCGTAAACGCGCCGGAGAGGGGGAGGCTGGAGCGAGCTTGCGCGAAATTGATTTTGCCGAGCTCGAGGCTCGTTGCTTCGTTAACTTGAATTTTCATGCGGAAAATTGCGTACGGGGGGCGGGGGATGGAGACCCCCCGGAGTGTAAGCGGGGAGTTTTTATACGGGACCGCACCTGCCCCCCGAGACGGCGGGGTC